CTGCTTTGCTAAGTATGGCAGCTTCCGGCTTTTGCTTCATCTGTGTTCGTTTAGCGGAGAAGTAAGAATTTCCGAGGATCTTACAATTTCACTCATTGAAGGCGGCCAGTCGGTGCCACTTTCCGAGTTGAATATGCTCCATTCTGATTTACGTTCATCAAATATAATTAGAGCAACTCGCTTATATGGAAGATTCGAATACTCCCAGCATTTTCTTCTCAAGGATTTAATTCGCTTTCTGGACTTGGCGGCTGCACTAGCAATTTCTTTCGTCATATTGGCTTGGGTCGTAAATCAAACAAGAGGGCATCGTGTTCCCATGGGCACTACTTTAAAAGATTTCAAGACCACGGTGATCTAAATTTAGATGGATCTATTTTAACACTCTCGTGCTTTTGTAGGAATCTTGGATCCATGTGCTATGGAGTAGGGTTTTCTCCGTCTGATGCCTTCATTAAATATTCGATGGCGTCCTCCTTCATCTGCGTCTCCTTTTGTAAGTCGCTAATCTCCTTCTGGAGAATTGTCTCAGCATCGAGCGATCGACAGTACCGAAGATGAAGGTCGTTGTAGCTCTGCAAGAGCTGAGAATATTTCTCCTCACTTTGTCTAAGAGCTGTGGAATGCTTCTCCTCTTCCTGTCTGAGCGCTTGGTGCGTCTTTTGGAGCTCAATCAATGCCAAAGAGAACTGGCAAAGAATATTGTTGAATGCTACAGTGTGCTGTTCGGTGGCATGCAGATGATTTCGCAGGTGATAGACGAACGTGTCTGCAAACGGGATTTCCGTCATTTCAGCATTCAAAATATCCAGAGACGTGGAAAGAGTTGAACTGGGTTGCTGGTTTCGCGTCAAAAAGTTGAACATAGATAAGTTGCAAGCTGGGAACCTACTGCGCAACTGAAAGCATCGTTGAACGGCTGGGACTGATGCGACATCTTTTTTGTTTTGCTGCGGTGCTTTGGTTCACCATCTATCGTGAGAAGTGTCAATTCGCATAACTCCTTATAAACACCATCAAGATTCAACAATAAGAGAAACCCAGCTCAAAGCTGGTATCATTTTCAGCGACGGTGCCGCGAACCGGTTCGGGACGCATGTGGCTAAATATAAATCTATGCATATTCTTGTGGGCGATGTTGTATTGCCAGCATCGCCGCATTTACACAGCCAGGCTAGATCAATCATAGTCTGGGGGAGCATGACTCAAGTTGGCGTGTCATACGACTCTATGTCAAAATAAACACAGATCAGTCCTTCTGCAGACTGTTGGTCGTCTTATACGTGATTAGCCGCGCATTTAGCAGGGTACCCATGTAGCGCGGCTGGAGATGGCGTCCGCTAGCCGCGCACTATTTTTAGCTACGTTGAGATTGGTCGAATGCTAACAAGCGACACACCGAGATAGCAGTCAACCACATGATAATATGTACTTGAGGGTGATCACAATCATATTATCATTAGGGTTCTCTGGCAGAAAAAGCTGATGGAGCTTTGAAACGACGTTTTGATCACGTCTGGAATGGCAGCATCACCCTGCTTAGTATCTTGGATAAGCTTTCCAACATGGACTCGTACAAGGCTTCAATCGATTTTGAATTCATTGACCCAAGCCTCTTAACAGTGAATCATCCACAACAAGCCATGGAAGCCATCCAGCACATCAAGCAAAATGCGAATCAAACGAACGAGACAGTAAGTCAGAGCATCTCATCCCAGGAAACACTCGACTAAGGTTAACACTTTAAGGCATGTCAGGGCCTCAGTGAAGCTGAACAATGGCTTGGGTCAACGCTTCTTCCAGATGGATCGCATGACTGGTTAGAACTGGTGAACTTCGAGAACGAAATACAGAGACTTAAGGACACCGCGGAGGATCAAAACTCTCGCTTGGAAAGGCTTGAAAATATACTGAAGCAGCAAGATTCCTATATTCGGCACCTACATGACTGGGCAACAAAGACGGAGAAGTTGAACAACGATTTTCGAAACATACTTCAAACGCTTCATAACCAAGTCAACGAATCTAAGATGCAGTGATTCATCTCTAGATAATATCAATAGCAAGCCGAGAGGTCTTCTATACTGAACAAAGGAGCAGTGTGGTAGTTGTGAATTCCCCAAAAGGCCAACCAAGATTCCTCAGCAGCAAGCTTCTGCTTGTAAAAACTTTCCCGCGTGTCGGAAAGAGTCTGAAATAGTGTCTCAGCTTGGTGAAACATACTGTGCATAAGGCTGATTCTGTGTTTCTGAGCTTTAATCTCTTGCGCAAGTATACTGTTCTCGCTTTCGAGATTGCGTATTCTGAGCTTTGCGTCCGATTGTTCCATGTCTTGTAAGTCCATAAGAAGCTCATCGATCATGCCATCCAGGGCGTCCATTTTGCAACTAGCATAAAACTATAGTAGCACCTAGTGCTGAAGATAGTGAAAGATCTATAGCGATGTCTGTTCACGAAGCTTCATAGAGGGGCTCCAGAAGATGATGTTAGACAGAATGGCAATCAAAAATAGCACACTGACAAAAAGATACATCGCCGGCCCGTCCTTCACCATAATCCCTTTGATATCTTGAAGTTGTCCAGAAATAGCCCATGTGAAGTAGGTTACTAAAAATATAGGGGGACAGCCAATAACCCCCGGCAGAAGTCGCATCAATGTATTTAGAACAGCGTTCGAGAATAGCATTGTCGAGCGCAGTCTTGAAAGTGCGATAAGTCCAAGACCACAAAGACAAACAACGCTGGTAGTCCATATCAGGAATAGGCGAAGTCTTATTTTAGAAACATCTGGAAAGTTTGGTATAGCGGAGAACCCTTTCAGCTGGAGTGATGCTGTATTGGACGAGACGTCCAGACATTTTTCCACCGGCTTTACTAAGCATACCTTTTCTGTGCCTATTTTTAGTTCTGCAGGGACTGATTGAAGTCGGCCGATAGCCTCTGTGGCTTGACCAAATATCTCCGACACCTGTGTTGGAAGGGACCCGACGACCCTTGTAGCCTGGTTGAAAATTTCTGAAGCCTGTGATGGTAGTTGCAGACCTTTATCGACCGACTCAAATGTAAGGTTGAGGCTAATAGTTGCGATTCCCTCATCGGTTACCCTGCTGCTGAGAATACAGAACAGAAGAATAGAGATAGACGACAATATCGAACTACCAGAAATTAGAAATAAAATGAATTGAGCTGGTCTCATGATGCTGTCAAGTCGTTGATGATTGTACAGGTGAGCCTGAGGAGAGCATTTCACAACGGTCTTTATATATTCCTTCCTGTCCAAAAATGACTAACTATAAGAACCCGTCTTGGTAAAAAATACAACTCTGCTGGATATCCTCTATAATTGGTCGCAATTTCGACATCCCTTGAGAGCACTTCATAGCTGACTTCTCAAGAAACGAGGCTCTAAGATTGGCCTTCTTCAAGTCCTCTAGTACTGCTTGGAGTCTTTGGTACGATAACTCTAATTCCTCCTTCTGCTCTAGTCTGAGCCTCACCTCAGAATCAAGCTGTGACTTTATCAAAGATGTTTGCTGAGATAAGTAGTCGTTTTGAACTTCAAGTTCTCGGATTCGGGCCGTAAAGCTTGTGGCTTTAGCTGGGATTTGAGGCTGTCATATGTCAGCATCAGGCTGGCTCAGTCGACCGGAAGATGCTAACAAAGGCAGTCTCGGATACTGCTGAGACCTGCTCTCGTGGAACTGCCTCAAAGACCTCACCACAAAGATTGTACAAGTCCTTGTAAATTCCAATAGATTGATCACTTAGATTCTTCTTTTTTTCAAAGAGATAATTGTGAGCATCATTCAGAACTTTCCAACAATAACCATCGTCGGTCGAAGGATGAAGCCTGACTTGGGATGGGTCTAGTGTCAAACCCACTCGATCCTCTACTTTGAGTTAGCGTTTTTCGAGAACTCCGAAGAGCGAACTTCCAAACCTATGTGCTCTGCAAGCCTCTGTCGACATTTAGATCTCCATCTAGCTCTTTCGAGGTTACTTTGTCTTTGGGGAGCATTCATTATGCTGTCTACTGCTGCTCGTATTCATGCTATCCACACAGAGTAGAAGACATTTCAATCAAACAAAGATATAAAACCCAGTGATCTCCAGCTAAAAATAGACTGATTCAGCGTTTCTTCTTCTTTGGAAAATAAGAAGAGGTATTGACTACTATTTCCAGCTGAATTTCCAATTTTGTCGTTGCACAGCCACCATTGTCAGCCCGCTTGCGCTTTCTCACCCTCTGTTGGATTCTATGAATGTCGTAACGATGATGCTCCCAGTCCTTCCTGCTTTCAAAGTTAAGTTTACACTGAGGGTGACCGCAAAATAGCCCACCACTGGTTTTACTTCCGTCGTGTTGCAGCAAATGTGCTTCCCACTCCCCAAGTTCCACGAACTGTTGAAACCGCTCTGATGGCGGCAACCCATCGTCCCCAAGACAATCAGGACACATACCTGGCAGAATGCTGCAGCCATTCAATCGCATCCAGTGCATGTCGAGTGGCAGGTTTCGTTTCGAGATATGGTTGCTGCAATGTTGCTCCCAAATGTGATGCCCCGAAAACCACTCATTGCATAAAAAGCAATACTCAGCGAAGCCATGGAGCCGAGTTAGATGTTTCTTGAGACAGCGATATGCGTGAACCTCGTTTCTTGCAACGGTCTTGTGTTTGCACTCATGTCGGTCCAAACCTTGTCTGACACTTGTCTCCGTTGTCTTCTTGAAAAGGTCCACAAGCAACTGGAGAGCTTTTTTGCCGATGTCGCTCCGTAACGGCGCGCTTTGGAAAAGCAAGTCAGAAAGTAACCGTCTTTCTGGAGTCACAGCTTTCAATCTGCTGAAGGAAACCGGCGCACACGGCGTCAATTTCTCATCATTGTCGTCGTGATACGGATCGTGTGTCTGCGCAGCTTCAGCCTCAATGAGTCGATGTTTCTGCAACGCTTTATCGATGAGGGCGTGCTGATGAAGGCTGAGCAGCCTGATATCGTTCTTACTCGCCCCATTCTGGCGTTTTGTGCTTATTTCCTCTTCCAATGCCTGGTATTCTTTACTCTCCATCACTGCCTCCAATTCTGCTGCGGGAAGTGTTCCAGGCTGGTTAGGATTGAACACAATTTCCAAGTCTCGAAATGTGTCTCCTAGACTCCGAACCGGATTGCCCAAATAGGTACCTTGACCATCGATACCAGGGTTGACTGAGGCGTAAAACTCTCGGTGCATTAGCGGGTCGTCATGCCCTGCTTGAATCATTCTTTGTGTGTCGGTGTATGCCGAGTTTCGGTCTATTGTGTCAGTCGAAGCACTTTTCTAATTCTGAAAGGTTAACTTACCAATGTTATGAAGGTTTGCAGCGCGAAGGTCATGAAATCTGGGTGGCTCGGCGTATCCTGCTCGGTGACCCAGTTCACGGAGCTGATTGCTGAGAGCGCTACTGGATCGAATCTTTCCATTTCGTGTGGAAAACACAGGACGACTAGTCAGCGATTTCGACCATTTGAGAACTTTGAGCTTGCTTCTCTGCGGCGGTGAAATCGCGAGTATGTCGTCAATCGTCTTGTACTCGCTGAACGCCCCGAGAGCAATAAACTTCGCCACAAAAAACAGCATGGGGTTGAGCCACAGAGGCCTCTTTTCTGATTGATATCCCTCATGCAAACTTGACTTTGTTCTGTCTCTGCATTAGTGTATGTACCATGAAAACTCGGCAGACACTCGTACCGTTTCTGGGGATCCCATTGCTTTCCTTTAAGCTGTTTCTGACACTCCATTGTGAACTCAGGGTCCCCAGCTTCGTTTTTGAACACTCCGAATGTGACATCCTGAGTATGATTAGAGCATGATCACATAATTTAGGGTCTTCTCACCTTGAAGTACAGACCCACGCCACTACCACGCCTTGCTGAGGACTCTGAGTAATCCGAAAGACGTGCAGAGGTGAATGTGTGTAGTTGAATGTAGGCCCAAAGGTCGATTCTGAGGCTTGGCTCGTCATATATCTTGTAATCGTATTTCCAATGATGTGTGGCCAAGTTCTCAAAATGCGTTGCAGTAGCATGCCTGCGCGGCATTGCTGGCTTGCCTGTTGTGCAGCCAAGCTCTTCTGCTAACTGAGTCAAGCAAAACTGGCCCTAGGCTCAAAATCAAATCTCGGAGATGGTGCAAAAAGGCGAAACGTACATTTTTGATGATTGCGTAGTTACGCCCATCGACCGGGACTCCAGTGCTCCATCGCTGAGCTGCTGAGAATAGCTTCCATTTATGCAAGAGTGACTTAGGATCTGGTGCATCAGATCGAAGACCATTCATGCCTCTCCCAACTTGAAGCATGAAGTCCTTCAGCGATTTGATATCGCCGATTGATGATTTCGGATTGATGGCCCTTGTACTGTACCGTTTAAGTCCGAGTTTGAACAAACGACAATTGGAAGAGGATGCCCTACTACGTTTCCCAAAGAGCCAGCAGGCTTTTGTAGTCGCGCGCTGTTTTTTCTGAGACTCGCGGAGGCACCCATTCGTCGTTAATAATGCTTGGAATTTTGTCGCCGTGACGATCCTTTGCAATTTGGAAGTAGTCCTTTTTCTTTCCCATGTCTGCTTAGAATGGATGTGAGACTAAGATGAAAGTAGAACGAGGAAGGTTGAGAGATGACTCCGGAGGAGCAACGTGGAGACTTTATATATCTATGGAACCATACAAAATTTGCTGGGGCTGCAGCATAGCCCCCTTGTCCGGAGACTACCAAATTTGTCGATTAGCTTGTAGCTGGTAACCCTAGTGTATTCTATAGTCGATTCGAGCTGCTATTGATACAAATGTCACTAAAAACTTCAGGTCTTCTTTACACGACTTCTCTAAGAACGGATGGTTGCGCAAGTGCTTGATGCTGGAGTCCGTAGTCGCGGCCAACATATCTGCTGCTAGTCCCGACCAGCGATTCAACCGGACCAGGCCAACTTCTTTCCCCTCTAGCCTCTCTTTTTCCATGAGGCGATTCATCAGTAGGGAAAAGGAGCGCGTCATTTTGTTGTTACTGCCATTGAACACACAGTTTTCTAAATCCAATAGCTTTACCTCACCACGGCTCGTAACTGAAACATGGGCACACAAGAGGTTTTCGTAGATGAGACTATTGGTTTGTAGGTAATTAAGACCATCGAGTATCTGTATACGTCATGAGAAAAACTCGTAAATATGCGTAGAACATTACCTGCTGCAGAATCGAGCCCAACTCTGGCTCAGTAGGGTACTGAGGCGATCTGTAAACTTGAAGTAAGGAGACTGTGGAACATTCTGTAACGATGTGTAAGTGGGTAGATGCGTCTAATATGTCCTCGGAGAACATTTCTTTGATTCTTTCGACGTTGGGGTGCTGAATGCTGCGGAGATACAGAACATTCTTCTCTGCAGATCGCCCGTCGACAGTCCTTATCATAAAACTTTCGCTAGAAGTTCTGCATTTCACAACGTGTCTTTCTCTACTTAATATGACGGAAAATTTGCGCTCATAATGCTTCCACGGAGATCCAGAGGACACGCGAACAATTTCATTGTCTTCGGAGTCTTGGTGCGTGGAGATTTGTACTGGCCTAGAGACAGGGCTGTATCTGACCAGGTTTGCGTCCGGGAGTGCATTGCTGCTGTTGGGCTGCATAAACACTACATCCGTCTCGACCTCATCAATGAAAAGTGTGTGTCTGTCGAGTTTACTCATTTCAATGATGATAAGACATAAGGACTAGCGACGTATTATTAGGCGTCTGGTGCTATAATATACGCGTATCGCGGATGCGGGCCAGTTTTGGCTCGCACAGGTCCAGAATTGGCCTCCACAGCAGTCCTCAAAACAATCACCCGCAGCCACCCGCACAAGAAGCTCTGAACGATACGGAGACTGAGAATTCCGTCGAATCATCATGGAACTCGGAGTATTTTCCAGCTTCATCGGGACTGCCCGTGTTCCTGTCGAAAACTTGGTTTTTCCAGAACAAGATGACTTCGCCAATGCGACGACCTTGCGTGAGCGATTGCCGGTTGAGAGGAAAGTGCAACGAATGCAGGAAATTTACAGGCTAGAGGGGTGCCGGCCATTGGAGCGTCGGAATTATCTTCCAGCAAAGGTGTCCCGGAAGGATCTCGAACATGTCGCAGGGGCCTCTTCGATCATACTAGGCGATTCATCCCAAAGTGCAAGGGAGCCGCCACTTCTCCGTCTGCCGATAAATGTTAGGATCATAGCCCTTCAGGGTCTGCATCGGGTTGAGGCTGCCAAGCGGTCCGGAAATTCCACCTGGTGGTCGGTGGAGCTGTATGATGACGGTGAGTCCACTCACTATTAAGGCCATACTCGGACGCTAATTTAACAAGACATATCGGCGGCGGCTTGCCACGCTCTGAGGAATGAGTTCGAAAATGCGTCGTGCTTTTCCGACGGCCATGTGTTCAAGGAGATCCAGGAACGGGAGGTTATGGGTGACGACGCTGGCAAGAGACGTTGGCTGTCGAGGCTTACTTCAAGCAAGCGTGCAATACTTGGCCGTGTGCTGAAGCGCCGCGCCATAAGCCAGGCACTCTATGCGCTTCATGGCATTCCAGGTCTTTGGGAAGATAGCGATGGGTTCAATATAGGAGTTTTGCACAAGATGCTTGCAATAATGAGTGACGAGGTGCGTAGAGCCGCGTGTATGACTTCCAGGTACTTACGCATAACCTTAGGAACTAGTTCAATACCTGAGCAACATCTGCAAAGTATACCTTGCCATCGTCGGCTCCAAGTCCCTACTCAAATTCGTAGATCATGCCACTGTAAAACACATCGAACTACGAGTTCCTGGCTTATCCCAACAAGACGACGACTTTATAACCGGTGCTCTCCGACAAGGTCTTATCTTCAGTCAATTCCCAGAGAACGAAAAGCCGCAGCTACTAGACAACTTAAGGCGGGTCAATGAGCTTATCCCGTCGCTTTACACTTTTCGTCTCGACTTCAAATATCTACGTCCTTGTGCACTTGTGATGAAGAGACTATTCATGCCTTCGCAGCCATTCAACACCGTCCGACAAGCTGCGCATTACGCCTTCAAGGAGCGAAATGACATGCCACAGACATCATTCGCCCAGCAGTTCTTGCAGTTATACCTACACATCATGAGGAATGTCTTCGAACTCTCCGAAGACACACCGTTGGTCGAGCAAAACCACCGTCAGATACAGCCAAAGCCTGAAGATCCAAGAAAATGGCACGAGCTTGCGATTAAGGCGCAAGCTCTGGGATTCAATTCGCTACAAATAGACGCCATTCTACGATCGGATCCCGATGAGGAGCATGCTCGTTACTCTTTGTTATCAGCCAGGAATCCTTCTTATTTCACATACGACCCTCAAGAGTTTGATACCTTTGTGCAGGCTTTGAAGCAGATGTATAAATCTGCACGGCCGTATCATAATCCGAGCTCAATCCCTACAATGACAACGCCTGGCTTGGGTGAGCCTCTGGCGCGTCGCTGCGGTAGGCAGTTCTCTGCATCTTATGATCTGGACAGCCAGCATCTGCAGCTGTCCATTATTCAAAGGTTGCCTCAGAAAAACAATGATATCACGTCTCTATTTGTGCGACAATCCGTTATCAGAGCGTTTTTCAGTCTAGACGATCCAGAACAGTCTGGCCAAAATAACCCTAACATGAGTCGAAACGATTTGCAGGAGAATCTCAACAATTCAGATACTAGTAGAATGGAGATCAAGAAGGAACGTAACAAGGCAGACAACATGCACTTGGATACAGAAGTTCAATCAGCAGATAGCACTTCCCAGGCGCAGATCATACTCGCAACGCAACAAGCCGAAGACACACAAATGGTAAACAGCGTTTACCCGCATGGCACAAGTGCTGAGAACGGGCGCTCGCAACTCAGCGAGCAACTGGGTGCGCCAAGTCAACCCCTAGAATCTGGGGCCTTGATTAGAGTCGGCGAGACTAGCATTATACCAACCTCCAGCACTAAAGAACAGGAGGTAACGGGAGACATCGGGACTCCTTCGGCGACAAAGAGAGTTGCTTCCGACGACCAACTGATTGATAGGTCGCCCTCTAAAAAGCAGCTGACGTTGATTTCAGAGCCGACAATCCAGATTTTAACGCCCCGAGAAGGACAATGGGTGCTCGCCAAAGAATGTTCGGAAGCAGAAGTTATTACAGAGATACAGGGTATTCGAAATTTGAACCCGACGATAGAACTGACTATATTCGACGCGCAAGGCAGAGCGATAGGCATGGATGAGTGTTTTATGATTGCGCTGTCTGATCAAAGAAAGGTGTATATAGCAGACAAATTCCCATCTAGTCTAACCCTAGAAATAGAGGATATATTGTAAAATTTGAGAGTTCCAAGGACCAGAGAATTATTTTGAACTTTCGCACTCTGACTGGTACTTAGGAAACTGGTGCAAGTGTGATACTGCTATTGTATGGCAGGTGCGATTACTGATTAGATGCAAATGATGCTTTGTTAGAATATAGGTTATGTGCATACTTTATGCAGATGTAATCCAAGTTGCATCCAAGCCCGTGGTGTATTGTGCTTGCACAATGATCTAGTGCATTTCAGCAGGGCTTGTGTTAGGGTCGCCTAGTATAATACAGCGGGGCTCGCTCAGGAACTTCGAGCACAGGCTCAGGTATTTAGTTACATGCTCAGCCTCGCCTCAGTTTAGAGCGGCGACTGCTCAGGACTGCGGCCAGAAAAAGTGGCGGAGATCAGTGAGACAAATGTGGTTGCTCTTTTCTTGTAAATCATCCTGGTTGATGCAACGAGCGTCAATCCATATGTAGGAATACTCGGCATTGTTGGAGCGAAACCGATCTTCGCGAAGTTTCTTGACGAATGCCCCCTTGCTGAAACTCCCACGCATTGACAGGAGGGCCGTGTAAAGATTTGTGGTGACAGAGACAGCATGGCCATCGCAGTCAATCTCAAAGGCGGGTGATGCCCAAGCCTGAGCAGAGAACACATCATTTTTGTCTGTGTAGATCGTACGGGGATTGCCCCACGTATATGAGAGAGCGAAATAGTTGGGCCCATCTGCTAGGTCCGCGACTACCAACGAACACCGGATAGGTTCATCCATGGACCATGGTTTAGATCCAGTAAAGTTATAAAGCTTTACAAGCCGAATGGATGTCGGAGTTAGTAGGGAGGTGTAGCTAGGACGGCGATGTGTTTTCTCAAGACAGCCAACCGGTGGGTTTATGATGGAGACAGGTCTTCCGCTTGAGTCGGAGGCATCTTTGTCGAAGACGGGACGAGAGAGATTCTCGTTGTTTGGAAAGTCTGCGTTTTGGCTTTGTTCAGTTGCCCCAGAACCACTCGTCCCCGTGTCGAGGAACCATCGAGGCGCCACGTATCGGAACTCGTGTTCTGTGGATGTGCCTGGTGCAGCATCGTCCTGGGATTTGCCCTCCTCCATGATCTTTGCTGTTGGGGTATTTTCTCCGTTGTGAAGTGTGTTATTGCCTTCCGTGTTGGATGATTCTTCGAAGCCCGCTCTTCGTGTCTGATAGGTGAGGTAGTGGTAGTATGCTATTGAACTTCTGCGGACAGTTTTGTTATCTCACTCAGCGATAAAAGGCCGCAACACCCGGCCAGAAAGAAATTCGGCCAAGAAAGAGAGGCCTCTCATGTTGAATGTGGCTTGGACAATTACCCGCTTCTGTTCTATGCTGCAGTCAACCCTGCTGGCATACGGGTCTCATGCTGCAGGCCGAGGGCCTGGCAAAAAGAGGGACCCTGCGCATGCATCTTCTGAGAGAAGTCTCGTTGGTCCCAATAAACGACAGGCTCAATCGGCAATGGAGAACCAGTATTTCCAGGTCTCCAGCCCACCGCTGAGCATAGCCACGGCAGTGATTCTGCCGTAGTGTTCACCAAGGACTGACATCTCTGAAGCTGTACTTGAATGGTTCAATTACTATTCTGGCATCCAGCGCCGGGCTTAATAGTCCGAAGCAGTTGGTGTAACCTAAGTATTGGCCCACCTGTGACTCTTCGCGACGCCCGGGGTTAGTCGGGCAACTCGCTTCAGCCTGCCCCTGCATGAATTTAGCATTCTCACGTCGGCCTGTAGTGGGGGACAATATGCATGAGGAACAGGTACCAAGTCCACGACCTCTTCAGAGCATCTGGGACTACGAATACTTTCTACCGACCAAGAAAGTCAGCTGGATATCAAGGGTATCGGAAGCAACCTATAAGTCGCCCAAGGAAGTTCTTCAAACTCCAGAGAAACCGATGGGTGTTCGAGCGTGGGCTCATAGCGACTGGATAGAGGTTAACGTGTCTGCTAGCTCATGTTTCCAACGAGGCTTTGACTCAGAAGTCGCACGTTCATGCCGAACGCCAGGGCGCTTCCAACATCCATGATTTGAGTTGCCACGTGGAGGAGGGAGGGGTTGCAATTAATCTGGCTTTAACATGGGCTCTGTTTACAGGCCTCGATTGGCATGTCTAGACCCACGAACCTATCTCTCTAGGTAAGCGGCAGGCTGAGAGTCCTAATTTCCTCCTGCAATTCTGCCAGCAGGCCTGGCCAACCCTCCAAGCGGATGGCCGCCGCTTAGAAAGAGGATTCCACTATCACTGAGTCTATACACGTGTACGGCACGAAATTGAGCTCTGTACCGGGGTACGTTGACGCAGCCTGGTTGGCCAGCTCTGC